GACACCAAAAATAGTGTGTCATTAATTTGAGATGATCAACAAGGGGAAATTTTTTAATAAATAAATTAGCAGTAATGTACAGTTTTCCATACATTTTCATACCAAATTTTTTATAGGGCTGAGGATATAGAATATGTAATTGCACAAGGTGGTTTCTGTTAGATTATTAACAATGGGTAATAACCATTTGCTTTGATCTATGTTTGAATTTCAGGTGTTAAAACTTAATGCCTTTTAGGGCCTAGTTTAGTAGGTAATGGTGAAAGTAAGGTTGCTTGCCAAAACCTCTTAATCACTGCCAAAACTTCAATAAACAATTAATGTGTAACCTGCTAAAACTCTGCTAATTGTTGAAATCCCTAAATGTGAAACTCTGCTGAAACTCTAACAAACAGTTAGTGTGTTACCTGCTGAAATTCTGCTGATTGATTTCCAGAGGAGTTTTGGTGAGCAACCATAGTTACAACACCTATATGACATGAAAAGGTGTAACCCTTGCAGTGAAATGCCAAATGGCTGTATGCTGTATTTTGTATGCAAACATAACTGCCATATGCTGTACATTATGCCATGTGCCATATGCAAACATAAATGCTGCATGCCATATGTTGTGACATTATGCCAATATGCTGTATGAAAATAATTAACACAAATTTTTTATTTTTCAAATAAATATTAATCACATCATATATAGAAAAAAACAATCTTATTAATTATCTATATTATTATCATCATTTTCTAAAAAATTATTTACTAATAATTCAGGATCATAGTCCAAATTATAAGAATTATCTAAATTAGTCTCATTTTCATTTACTTCATTATTATTATTAAAAAAATTAAAATCAATAATGTCATCAATTATTAAGGTGTTTCTTGTCTGAATTGAATTATCATTTAAATTAACATTATTTAAATAATCATTTTCTGATTCTAAACTCATTAAAGCACCAACTGATGAATCATTTGCTACATTTCTTAACTCATTGCTAGTTGATGTTTTATCATAGTACAAGAGTTCAGCTTTTATGTTGGTTAAATAGTAAGACCTAATTTTTGAAATATTCTCAAGTCTCTGTATGGCAAGTCTAGTTCTGCAATCTCCTATTATCCATTTAAGAGCAGAAAAATTTCTTTCACAATTTGATTGAGTTGGGGTTATTCCAAATAATCTGAGATAAGTGGCTAGGTTTATTTTTAATCAAACCCCACCAAAGTTCAGGTGTGTCCATTTCTTCAACATATGGTAAGTCATAAGGAGATAATTTTGCTTCAAACTTTCATAGTTGAGAAATTAATTCATTACTTACTTGTTCACTATGGTTTAAATTTTTCCACAATTTAACAGCAACTAATGCTGCCTCTCTAAAACCACCATTTCGTAAACCACCACCTAATTTTAAATTAATAATTAAGTTATAAAATAAATAATAATAAAGGACAATCTGAGCCATATAAACTATTCCAAACCTCTGTATAATGGATGAATGTAATAACATAATAGATAAGCAGGATGTTGAAATTCTATATAACGATTGTTAAATATATGGATTGCAGAAGTTTTAAATTGATTTGAGTCTGGCAATTTGAAAATTGCAACAGCTAATTTGATCATGTAAATAAAACAATCTGCCAAGGTGGCTGTGTTTGATTCTAGTATGTTTATACATTCTTTAATAGGACCCCAAACTGAATGAATATGGCAGCATTTAGTTAAAAAATCTTCATTTTGTAATAAAAACAATACTTCATCATTTGAAATTACATCTCTATTTTCAGCAATTATCTAATAATGAATGAACATAAAATTGTGAATATAAAAAATTTTAAAATTACAATTGTCTTAAATAAAAACATACCCAATCAAACACTGGTACTGCACATAAAATAGAATCAGTTGTCATATAAAGTGAACCCCACCTTGTTTTTACCCAGGTTTGTAACCCTTAAGATCTAATTTTCATTTGCTGCAATCCTTGACGTAACTTAAAACATGCTTGGTAAGAATTATGAAAAAAATTTGTGATTTTTCCACATTTTGTAATAAATTCTTTGATATCATCAATTTTTACAAGATCTGATGCTATTAAATTTAATGAGTGTGCAGCACATCTTATATCCCAAATGTGAGGATACATTCTTCAGTTTTTTCACGCACAACACAACATGCTGGAGCAGCATCAGTAACTATAGCAGCAAATTTATCTAAACCAATTTGTTCTACAATATCTGAAATTTCATCTGCAAGAAAGTTACCAGTGTGAGAAAAACCTGAATAATTTTTTAATGCTATTAAGTATTCTTTCCTAGATGGTGTAGAGATAATGTAATTGTATAATGATTCATTTCTTCTAGAAGTCCAACCATCTAAGGCTAAAATAAATAATTAATAATTAATAATTACTTTTAATCCTTACAATCATATAATAATATAAAAAAAATCTTCAAGTAAAATTAAAAAAAAATTTTGCAAAAAAAAGTAAAAAATATAATATTATTTAAAATCATTAATTCATTTTGAAAATAATCCCACACATTTATTGCATTAATTATTTGAATTTTAAATAATTAGAAACTTACTCAATGTTAAATTATTGGAAGACTCCAACTCTTTTTCAATGTTTAGATTGACTCTAGCAACTTCCTGGTCCAAAAGCTGACCAGATAATGTTGTTCTTGATGGTGGTGTATATCCTGGGTTAAGTTCCTTAAACAGGTCTATAACAAATGGATTTTCTATGACTTCAAATGGTATTCCAGCTATTACCCATGCTTTCAACAAAGCATGATCAATTCTTTCAGTAACAAAAAGTGGTAGAGGTTTTTTTGAACCAAAATGATCTGTTATATATGGTTGTATACCAGGAAGAGGTGTAGTAGGATTTTTTTTTGAACGAGAGTAATTGACCACTTCTGTTGCAAGTGTATCTTTCCAAAATTTACTAATATCTGGTGGACAAGGCAAGCATTTATTAGCTAGGTGTGCTTTCAATTTTGCAGGTTTACCCCTTGCCCAAGTTTTACTACAATAATAGCATGTTGCGGAATAATGGCCATCATTTTTCTCTTGACCTTTGTTATAATAATTCCAGATTTCATCACTTTTAGGACCACATTTATTTGCTTTTCGTTTTTTTGTAGGTGAACAAGGAGGTTGGACTTTCATAAAAAGTATGTTCATTACTCTCTGCATCAGAAGTTACATTGATAATGGTGGCCATGTTCATTCATTGATTCAAATTAATTTATAAATGTTAATAGATGATGATGATGATATGATGATGATTATTTTATTATTGCAGAAGTATACATATATAATGAAAAAAACATTGAATGATTAATCATAAAAACAATGTTTTTTATTATCTGAGAAATTTTGAGTCATATGAACTTGGGATATTTTATTCTTAAAAACCGGTTGATAAATTTTTTTGATGTGACTATACATGCAGCCCAAAGTATTTTGACACTGTCATAAAGGGAGTTACACATGTAGTAAAGGGGTGTTACACTTATGTTTTTAATAGTGAATGCCATAATTAATTCCTACTTTCTACCATCAAAATTGGAATAATTTTGACCATCAAAATCACCAAACCAATTTGGGCTGCAT